TAAAAGAGCAATAATTTTTCATTCACTATTTCAATAATATATTCCAGAGCTACCGTTTCCGTCTCGAATTATTTAAATTCTCGATTATCGTCCCGATACGAACCCCGTACTTTTTCTTCAAGTACCGACCATCCCTCGCTGAGGTAATATAAAATCTGTACATCTTACGGTATACTAATTATTCTCTCGTATGAATTAGGGACGCAAGTAAGGGGGAAATTTTCCTGTCTTTACGAAGGCCAAAGAGAGACCTATCGCTCCGCATTTTGTACCTGTCGTCTCCGCCGCCTCCTCCTATCAGGTTCAGATAAGTTTAGGCCTAAGTTCGACGATTTTGCGGTTTATTCGTTATTAAATATCTCTTAAATTTAATTTCATTAATATCTTCTTCATACAATTTTTTTTACTCATTTTAATACACTACAATTTATTTTTATTAAACTAGAATTTTCAATTTAATTTTTACTTTCACAACTGTAAGGGATATAGCGCTATATTTCATTTATTTTTTTTTGAATCTAAACTTAATTTTAATTTATCAAATTATATTTTAATTTTTTAAATATATCCCTTAATTTATTATTTTATTTTGTCGGCTGAGTGCTACGTTCCCAGTCACGTGGTACTAGAGGCCCTTTATTCGACTGGGTGGCGCCCATAAAGAAAAACCCCACGATCAGCTCTCCTCCGAAATACGAGCTGCCAAGGTGTTACCTATTTTATATATATATAAAAAAAAAAAAAGGAAATAGGTAACACGGTAGTGTTAATTTTAAACATTCAATATGATACCAGTGGTGACAAATTCACATAAAACAACTTCATCGCTGTTACAGTTACTACATTCATTCTGCAAATGACAAACTCAACCGGTTCTTTCGTCCCAATAATTATCTATAACAACTTTTAAAAATTCAAATGTGTTATTTATATCATTCGGCAACTTGTCTTGAACAGTGTAGTTGAAATTAATGGCAGGTTCTTCAATATTTTCAATATATGCAAACATTTTTCTAGGAATATCGGATGTTACTTGTGGTATAGATGTTGTTTTCATGTAATGAATGATTTTTTGTTTAATATGTTTTCTATATTGTCCCAAACCTTCTTGATTTCTATATTGTAAAACATCTAATGACTTAGAAACCAAAATTTCTGCAAATAAACAGCAGTATGCACCACAATCATGTGAATTATTTTGAATTGCTACATCTTTAGGCTTACACATGGTCTTTTCCTTAGTGCTAAATGGCATTGTCTTAATTGTAAAATAAGCAGAGTATAACTTTAAAATATAATTTAGAATATCAAGTGGAACATCTAATTATTAATTATTAATTAGTTTTTTGAAAATTATAAATAGAGTGCAATGAAAATTTTGAGTTAGCGGTATTATTACTATATCGTTTTCGGGAACTGAATATTTAATAAAGTAAGTTAAGCCTATAATGAAACTTTTTTGACGTTTAAATTCATTAATTGAATAACCTTCTACAGAAATTACATTGACATTTCTATGATTTTTTTGATTTTCAAAATGAAGAATATTTATATAACATTCAATGGCTGAATCTCCCATATATAAGTCTGTATCTCCTTTTTTTGGACCAACTGCTCGTAAATTTGCCGGATATATACATGATTTTCCAATAAAAAATTGCTTGTTGTTTTCAAAATTTATAACGGAAAGTGTAGACCGAAAAAAAAAATTTGACAGAATTTTTGAAACATTTTTTCTATGTATACCTTTATTGTATGTTTTGTTTTCAACCTTATGGGCACTGCTGGTCATTATAATGTTAGAGTCATTTTTGTTAGGTGTTGAAGTGGCTTGGGGTCGTAATAGAATTTCAGAAGTATCATTAACAGTTTCCAATGTATTTTAAATTTGTTTTGACAGAGAATAAAACCTATGTTTGACTATACTGGATTTACTATTTGTCGCAATTGTTGCAATTAACACTGAATGCTTCAAAATTCCACTTTTGGAAGCTAATGAATCATCTGCAGCTTCACCAGTGTTAATTTTTTCGGAGATCTTTTTCTTCCAGATTTATAACCTCGATCTCGTTGCATTAAAGTAGATAATTTTGTGTATTTTTGTTTTTGTTGATCTAATCCTACTGCCATTTTTGCTGCTGTTATATGGTGACAATTACGTTTTCCTTTGCATGAACAATTTTCTGTTGGAAATAAAGTTACAATGTTTGGCGGTTTTCCGGACGCTATTGATAAAACAAGAAAAGAAATTCTAGTATAAGCATTTTGGTAACAGAATAGTTTGTGTAAGGTCTTTCTTCTTCTAATTGTTTTAAGGAAAAGTCTTGATTTATAATAGCATATGTCAACTGCTCTAGTAGTAAATGCGATTTTGGATATTCTACATCCACAGGATCGCGAAGAAATTGACTATATTTACTTTTCAAACAATGGTTACCTAGAATAAAAATTATATTAATTACTTTCATTCAAAGTGAATGAAATACGCACCGACATTACAAAAACCTCGTATAATTTCCTTCTGGTGATATAAATCCAACTGATACAGCGTTAAAGTTAAAACTTGTAAATTAGATTCCTTACGTTCTAAACAATTTTTTAGGGTGTTGTTCAAAGCTTCAGCTGCATTATTTGTTATACCACTTCTAGGAGTGTACTTGTTATACTAAAAAATAACAAAACATTTTTACCTATAATTTTAATAGTATTTATAATAAAAACCCTAACCGATTTTCAGACGCAACGCAAAATATTTATTCACAGATAATTTGGCTTTTATTGTGTTTGAAAAATTGATTAGATTATTTACCTAATTTAAATCAAACTATAAAGTCCATAAAGTGTAATAGTGGATTTATGCCTCCATATTTAAGATTTATCATTTAAGATTTAATTTAAAAATTTACATTTAAGAAGATCAATACTTAATGCATTTTCAATGGTAACGTTTATACTAACATTTAACATTTAAGCTTTAGTATTTAAGATTTAAAAAGAGTTCACTAACTATTAACTTTTTTCGTTAAATGATAAATAAGAAGATGAATGCACCGCCCATTTTAAATTGTTAGCAACTAGCAAACCAATCTTATCTGTGCAAAAATTACAGTGAACAATTTTTTCCCTGATTTTACGTTACAAATTCAGCTTCGAAGTATAAATTATGGTACATGTTTTACATTCAGTTCTATTACGTACTTTAATTGCGTCATAAATGTTACTTTTAAAATATTTTTTGAACCGATCACTCCACTCAATAGACATTTCTTCATATTTTATAGTAAATTCTTCAAAATTGTTACTGTCGAGTAAATCCCAGATATTGTTAATATACACTTTTTCATCTCCAATATCACCTCCTTTTTGTTTTCTAATCCAGTACTTTACGTCAGTCATTATGTGATTCCAGCAATAGAAATTTTGACTATTAGGAATTTCTTTATCAATTGCCATATTAATTGCCATTTCCCTATCTGTTACAATAGGGACATCATTAACAGCAGGACACATTTTATTGATAAAATTAAAAAAACTGCAGTGTACTTCTTTTGTTTTCTGATCATGGATAAGGTGAGCTAACGGAATGACGGGTTCATTTTTAAACACCATCACCCAAATTAAAAGTCGTATCGTATGATAAAATTGTTTCTTCATATCTGGCTATATCATTGAATTGTTTCGCCATGTCTTCATTACAAAGAAAAATATGAAAATGTTTAAGAAGAACCATGCACTGAACAAATTTTGGCAATTCTTGATGCAACATATATACTCTAATTATATCATCATTTGATAGTACTTTTTTTGTCTTTCCACGTGAACTGTATTTGAAAGTTGTTTCCTATCCCGTGAAAGAAAAGCAGGATCTAAAGCTGGATGTATGTCTTTTTCAGTCTGTTGTCTATATATTGCTTAAGGTCTTAAACGTAGGAGGTTCTTTTGTTGATTGACAACACATTTAGCAGTCATAATATGTTTTTTTTCTAAATTATATTTACGGTTACCATGAGGCAAATTTTTTAGACTTTGGTCATTACCAACATACTCGTAATGTAATAGAGTCGTAGTTGAGTATATCTGATTCTTGTTATGTTCTTCTATAAAATAAACTACCATCATAAGCCCTACAATAATGGCAAGTGATAATAGGATCGTGTTTCGGAAGATTTTTTACTCCTTGATGGCGCCACCTATACTGATCGGCTTTCCAATTTTCTTTGTGTTTATCATCACTTTGTACAATATAAATTTCTCCGGGTTTTGGCTTAACGGGCGCTCTTTTTAAGGATTTTGATATATCAATATTTGTTAGTATTTCATAATACTCCAAGGGTTTTAGAAAATTTTCGGAAACAGCATAAGGTATGAATTCTTTTTCCAAATCATTTCTAAAATAAATGTAATTTAATACAAAAAACAGTAACATAAAATAAGAAACAGGATAGAAGTAACTTCTCCTAAAAATTTAAAGAACAAAAAATCCTAAATTTTTTGGTGATTTTTGAAAGACTCTAACTCGAAAAATGGTCGTATCGAAATTTAAAAATATATATTTTGCAGCTTTAAGTTTTTAGTTTTGAGATTTTTGGCACATTTTTTTTGTGCTGCGGATATGACGTAATTCAAAGTAATACCGCCCAATTTTTTTTTTTGTTTTTGCTCTGGTCCACGGACGCGGGGATTTTTTTTAGTTAAGTCAATGCCTTTAATATGCTTTTTTCATATTCTCTTTACGACAATTTGTCGCTGAGATATCTGACTTTAAATAAAAAAGATCCTTTTGTCTTGGTTCATCGATATCTCAGCAACCAATGACCACACAAAGAATTTAAGGTAGTGTCAAAAACTGGAATAAATGGCTTACAAGATCCTTGTACGATTTTTTGAAAAATATTTTTCTTTACCCTCAACATTGATTTCAAAAAAAAAGAAAAAAGTAACTTTTTGCGTTGTTTTAGTAAATCTACCGCCTACTCACTAATATTGATGGGGAGACTAATGTTTTTAGGTGTTTTTACAGCATAATGTACTCCCCAGTTTTAAATCGCTTCATGAAACCATTTTCTCGGACCGATTGATCAAGGTTTTTTTACAAAAGAATTAAAGGAACAATTGTAATATATTGTTTCTGAATATTCTCTAATTTACGTTAAAATAAGAAAAACAATTTGTTTTCAGCTTTTTTACCATTTTACGTAAGTTATTAATTAAATCTGAAAAAAAAGTAACTTCAAAAAAATAAAAAAAATATATTTCTTGAATTGTTTTAACAATTAAAAAAAAATAAAAAAATATGTTCAT